TCCTGGCTGTGGTGTGAAAACCGTTTACCATCTTCATTTGCATGAAGATGGCACTGCTTTGGCCAGAGTTTCCTGAGTTCCACATCGGGATGTGGCAAAGCCCCTGTGGGACTGCTGGGTGTGCTTGTTCTAGAGCAAGGGTTTACAAGCTGGCGAGGTGTGGATGGGGGTTGCTGGTACAGAGTGTGGAGCCGTGGGACAAGATCCTCTTCAGGGTCACACTTTGCTCTAATGGGGTTTGTCTTCCCCAACTCCTGAGAACCTCCCAGAATGGGGGTGCAATTGGCATGTGCCTCTGTGTCTCAACTTGTGCTTCTCCCTGCCAGCCTCCAGCAGCACCTTCCAGGGAGCAGAGAGGCTGGGAGATGAAAAGCCAATGCAATTAAGGACTTTATGGGACTACAGGGCTGCTGGGAGAAGCAGGCACCACACCATGCCTGCACCAGGCAGATAGGTCCAGATTGCTTGAGAATGAGACTACTGCTGGGGCAGAACACAGATGGCATGGGAGGGGGCATCCAGTCCCAGCCCAGCCCCCCTCAGCTCCATGCCCCGATCCAGCACCCCACAGAGCTTCCTCCTGCCCCACAGGCAGGTGCTTCCAGCTCCTGCATGACAAGTGGTCGCTAGTGGCTGGTGTGAGCCTTGGGCTGCCAGCTACAGGAGAGCCACTGAAGGTTATAAACATCACGGGCCTGGTGACTAAGGGGCAGAAAGGAGGGTGAGAAGAAATGAGTTTGAATGAGACCCAGTTTCAGCCTCAGCCAGAGCTGGGCAGAATGGACTAAATGATTTTTCTTTTTCTTCATTTCTTTTTCTCTCTTCATTCCTTTCCTCTTCCCCTCCTTCCTCCTCCTACCACAACCTGCACCGCACCCCCTCTGCCTGTTTCCTGCCCTGCATGTCCCACTCCCTCTCTCTCTTCCCACCCTCCCCGCATCCTCCACCCTCCACGTCCTGTCCCTCAGGAACCTGAGCTCGGCCGATGCTGGCCGCCAGACCATGCGTAACTACACGGGGCTCATTGACTCCCTCATGGCCTATGTCCAGAACTGTGTGGCAGCCAGCCGCTGCGATGACAAGGTGAGAGTGCAGCCCGCTGGTGGCACCCCCACACCCCGACCCAC